TAATTTTTCCTTTTTTATCCCACATGCACAAGTACATTTAAGGATTTTCATTTTTGCTTTGCTAACTCTTTTAAGCTCTGAATGTGAAGGGGCTGATGTTTGAAAATTTTATCTTGAAAATATACTGTAAAGCCAACCAGATGAATTATATTCGTGTTCTAAACTGTGTTAACTAACTGTACAGCAAACATTTTTTGCAGTCTTTGATATTGATTTTGTGACTTGATTATAGTACCTGTTATAGTACAGTTCATATTATAAGGGATTTGTTTCTGTGAGAAAGAATCGGTACAGACATTCCTCTGGGTGATGCTGTTTCAGAAGCTGTCCTAATGATGGATAGTTTCTTGTTTTCTAAGTGCGTGCTGTCATCATTGACTTCTGGAACGCATAATCTAGTGTATCAGTCTCTGAGGTCACCATGTTGGATCCAGTCTGAAAGTCACAGTACTGCTGTAGCCAAATTAAAGTTACTTTCACATGTGCTGTGGGCCAGTCTGGACATTAGTGAAGAGACACACATCAGCTGCCATTAGGGCTATATTGTAAAGTGGAGAGCAGAATTTTTCAATTAAAAAATAAAGCAGCATAAAACAAGAGACATAAAGGCATCCTGTTTTTCCTGTGGGGCATGTCATTGTGGATTTTACCAGTGTCACTACACACTGGCATCAAAATAGCAGTTACAAAATGATATGTAAGTTTGGCACGTTGTGTGACATGATCTGTTTGTTATACTAGCTCCACAGTTAGGCAACGTGGGTACTAATGATGAAATAAATCCAAAATTTGTGTATTCAGAAGTATCTGTGTCCCAGGCTTTCCTGTCAGTTTGTAAGATAATGAGAAAGGGGTCTTTTTGTGTGTGGTAGGCTCTTGACAAATGCATATCATTGACATATAAAACAAGTTTAATTTAAAGTGCGTTGCAATGTGACCCATCCCTTGATAGCATTGATTTTTCCTCCGGAACAAACATGCATTAAGAGGGGAAGAAGAGCATCTGTTCCATTTGGCCACTTTGAATGTCAAGCCTGTCGGAGTTAGCACACTCATTGCGTTAGCCATAATGCAAGAGCTGTAACACATACACAAAATAACAAGATTAGCAGTCAGTGTTCAGGTGTTTTTTTATTTCTTTGTTTGCATGCGTCCTTGTGTTTTATAGATCAAGAAGTTTTAGCCTTAAGTTTCTGGCCAGAGCAGTCAGGGATGCAAACATATACCCACTTGCAAAACACACACAATAAATGCGCATTCTGTCACAGCCTGCAATGGCATTGGATGGCTCACTGTTCTTGGCTTTGTACCTGCGAGGCCTGAAGGGGTGTTTGTTCTTTTACACCAGATGCTGACAGGTTTTGGTGGTTCTGTTGGTTCTGCTCCCTGATCTGCAGTTGCTGACTGCCCTTTAACAATACGTCCCTCTCACTGCCCCTGCTAACAGATCCATTCCTGCCTGGCCGCTGCAGGCAAGGAGTGAGATGACCTTCTCTGACTCACAGCCTCTACTTGTTCTCCTGCAGCTCTACAGTGCCAGTTAAAACTTGTCCTTTCTCAGCTTGCAGGAGTGCTACAGGCGCCGTGTGGTATTGGTGTGTTCACTCGGGCTGCAGTTCATTCCCAAGATGCTTTCAGGCGAGAGGTCAGAGTTCAGACAGACTGGGCTCTTACTCCAATAGTGAGAACTTGTGAGGCAATGCTGCTGTGTTAGGGCAGTTAATAGCAAAGGGACCCATATCCTTTAATGAAATGCGCAGTGTATTCATGCTGGGAAGTGTTTCAACAAACAGGCGAAGGTGGTTAGAAACTTTCCTTTTCCACTGTCATTGTAACAATGTCGTTTTCATGGCTTGAAGGTTGATGAAGATGTCACGTCTTTGAAGAGCTATGATGCAGTTACTGCTGTCTTTGTGTTCTGTATTCTAAGTAAGAAAAGTATAGAAGTGTATTAGCTACTACACAGAGTTACTTAAGCAATTATGAAAACTGTGTTTTTGAATAAAATTGTGCATTTTGAAACTCTCAAAATGCTTCCAGCTCTAATTTTGACTTAAAAACAGAGGCATATTTAATTTGCTGCATTTCGTTTTCATGGAATCTGACACATTAGTGGAACAGAAAAATCACAGTAATTAACAGAGGGCAGGTTCAGCAAGCGGAGATGCTATTCCTGGAATGTGCTGTCTCCAGGTTGACTTCTGCTCGGGATCGTACCTGGTAAACATGGTGAATGACATGATTTTCAGGTGCGGTATGTAAGCACACTGGAATGTTTGTGGTGGACACGTGATGGATGAGTCAGATTTGTGTCTGTGTCAGTGTTTGGTACTGAGATAGGTGATTGTATTTTTTGGTAAGGAACTTGAAGTTGACTGATGGAGCTAATTGCTTCAAGAGTGCACTGCAGAAGAAACGAAGTAATGAAGTGGCGCATGTGTCATGATATTGTTTTCATTTTGTACTATGGTTGTACCCACATTTGACATGTTGTTGCATGCTTTTACTTGACTTCACAGCACTAGGGTGCGGGAACACTTTGATTGTACCACAGTAGAAGTTTGTTTATACATGGTCCTGTATAGTAAATCCATTTGAACACGCAATAAAAACTCTAGAAAGGCATTTCAAAAGCAAGGTAATGTGGAACAAGCTGCCCAGATGTGTTGTTTATGATGAAACAGAATAGAATATATGCAGTGTGTCGATATTGTTGCTTAGCAGAGATCTGTAAATCTGTACACAACAGACAAACAACACCTCAGAGACGCACAGAGGCGGCTCTGAAACCCTGCCCTCCTTACATCTCTTGCCTTGATTGCCAAGTTTCCTTGGTGGCCTGCAAAGTGGTGATTCCATTTATCCAGAAATGTACACAAAATGTCATCTATGTCACACAAAAGCTACTGAAAAGAGACGTCCGCTTCATCCTTGCTTAAAATATATTTTTTTTAATGCAAGAATGGCAACAGCAAATGAGCGCTTTACAGTTTGTCCAGGCTTGTTTCCTCAACTGCATTCAAATCAAGCTAGTTCTGTCTCCTGGTGTAGGAAGGAGACAGAAGGATTCCTATTGTTCTGCATATTCTTCCAGGGCAAATGGGGAAAAAAAAACACAACTAAACCACCATATGTTGAGATGTTGTTTAAGAGTCATCGGATCTGTTTTTCTTTTGTGTCCACGCTAACATTCTCATCCTGTGACTTGCATATGTCTTACCACGTGACTCCTAACACAAAGAAGCCTCTGTATTTTGCAATGTCTTACCAGATATTTGGTTTTAACCACCAAAAAGCCCAAAGCAATACTACCCATGTTACATCTAAAACCAGAGCTGAACTGATAAAGGAGCAAGTAATAGATTTATTCCATGCTGAAAAGAGAAGAAAGAAAACACAACATTTCGGCCTTGGCACCTGAACTGAAAAATGCTTTAATGAAGGTTTGACTAAGCCTAAGAGCCAATCTTCTTTAGAAATGGTATTAATTTCATAGTTCTGTGATACTTGGGTATGCAAAGCTCTTTCTATCTCTCTTGTCTTCGGCAGGTTTCCTTTCTACCTTATGGTCATTTTATTGACTGCACGACAAAAGGAATTGACTCATTTTGTTAGCCTTTCATCATCGTGGCTCATCATCAGTCACAAATAGTGAGCCAGCAATAGCAGATATTTAAGTAGATGAGAAGCTGCAACAGTTAGTATTTTAGAGTCATTCCTAAAAATGAATATACACTTTGCCAGTGTCATTTGCCTTTTTCTGCATTAGGGCCGTGTTAATTGTATTGGATTTTTGTTCGTCTTTTGCTTGAGATGTTCTGAAGCATATCAGATAACCCAGATTTTTTTTCCTTCATTACATATCGTTGACAAGGTAGATGGGTTTATTTGTTTAGGATTTGCTTTGAGGGCCGGGGTGTAGCTCTTGGCGTAAACTCCACACAAGCAGCAGTTCATTTTCAAAACAATGGACGAGAAGCCCCACAGCCCCGTTGTGCATGATTCTGGCAGAGTAGTGAGCACACAGAGCACCTCACTCTTCCAGAGCTGGCAGGCATGTATGTGAAGCTTAAAGAACTGTGTTTCAAACCCTCACAGGTTCTGATGCATGAACATTTCTCCAACCAGATTCCTTACAGTTTAGTTAACCTTCCATTTAATGTGGAGGTTAAAGCTCCATCAGAATACTGTAAATTGGACATTAATTGCTCAGCCAGTTGGGATGTTTATAACTCATTATTAATCTCCAGACTTCACTGTCTCAAAATTGTTAACCAGCTGGAGCATTATATTCCTGCAACAATATTTTTATTAATGCAGTGAATTTCAGTTAAAGCATAAAGAATCCAACCTAATATAAAAATGCCAAATTAGGTATTGCTGGTTGGTGTGATTCAGGGATTAAAGTGTCTCTATTCTTTAGAATAAATATTCTTTATGAACCTCTACAAAAGCATCTCTTGGGGATATCTTTTAATGAAGCACATGGACATGATTTTTTTTGTTCACAGGTTAATGCAAATTCCAATTCCAGTAGAGATCAGTTTTCCCAGATTTGGGACGGTTTTTAATCTCCCACACCTGTCAGGGCTGGCCTGTATTTTATGAACATGCAAATTTAAAGCTCCTTCACTCCTGAAATATGTCAAATGTGTGTAAGCCTGTAAATATAGTGACGCGCATTAGTTCTTAAGATTCTTTTGTCTTCCTGGTAAAAAAAAAAGATTGTGCAACAGGTGCTTAAAATATTTGTTAGTTCTTGGAAATTCCACAGATGATCGTCAGATGATCAATTGACTGTTATGCTTACTGTCCATTTAAGAAGGAAGAAAAATGTTGGGGTGTTTTTGTAGTTCAGAAAAGTTCAAAAGTTAAATCTGGTTTCAGTGGCTGAACCCCCTTTGCTTGTGAGACCCTTCGTCGTGCTTTTTTGTTGTTGTCTTTGAAATTGAGGCAGTATTACCGCCTTGTGATTAACTGTTGTTTTATTTGTTGTATAGCATTATGCCAGTTTATACAGGCTTCTAAAATCAGAGATGGGGCCGGACGGTGCTCAGCGAGTGCGGATGAAGGTAAACCCCCCCTTCTGATGGTCCTTCTGATGTCACATCTTCTCAATACCGCTTGTGCCCCTTTAACCTTTAACCTTTAACCTGACAGGCCCTTCTTTCACAGCACTCTCGTTTTGTTTCAAAGCTGACTCTTCTGCTGCGCCGGTGGAGGGAATCTCTGGGAGTCCTCTCTTACTGCCTTCTCCTCTAAACGCCTAATGAGAGAGAGAAAGTCTGTTCTTGCAAACAATGCTGTACCTCACATGTCCAGTGCTGCTACTGATGTTGCTTGGTCAATGTTGTTTCTTCCCCTCCACGACAAATGGTTACCAGCAGATTTTTCATGCGTGTGTCACCTGTGCTACCACTGTTGTCTTTTTACATTTTTTTTTTTACTGTATTGCAATAAGGGCAGCCAGCTGCTTTAATGTTGCATACTGACATCTTCCATGTACGTGTAGGTGTTTGTATTTAACAAAAGCATTATTTGTACTATGATCTGTGTTAGCAAGGCTTTAATTCTTTTATATTGGAAGAACAAAGCAATAAATAATAGAGAATGCAGTACTAGCAAAAACATTGTCAAACTTCAGAGATGGACTCTAGGTTCGCCTTTGGAGCTAATCTCTGATATTACTAATCAGGTAACATAAATATGCAACATTAAAAGCAGCAGTGCCTTATGCAGTACACCTTTTGCCTTTCAAGACGACTGTGCCCATTGCCTTGTTTCCTGTGCAGGGCGTCTTGTGCCTCAGTCTGTTTCTGAAAGGGTGTTCCCATTCGTGTGCTCATGCTCGTGCCCAGCCCGTTGGGCAGGAACTCTCTCATTGACCCCTCTCTCTTGTGCTTCCAGGTGAGAATTTTGAGCAGAGTCCGTTACGGAGAACGTTCAAGTCCAAAGTGCTGGCCCATTACCCCGAGAACGTGGAGTGGAGCCCATTTGACCAGGATGCTGTGGGAATGGTTAGTGTCCACAGGCCGGGACCCTGCGGCGGTTCCGCGCAGAGTGTAGGGGTCCCTAGGCTTCCTGACAGGGCTGCCTGATCTCTTGCCAGTCACACGCTTCTGAAAACAGCGCTGCGCTTGTGACCACGGCTGTGTCGTATCAGCCACACTGCTGCGTGCCATCTTTCTGAAAGAGAGAGAGGTGACACCAGAAGAGCATGTAGGCATATAGTCTTGCCAAGGTAATCTAAAAAAATATTCACTTTGCTTTTTTTTTAATTTTGGCCTGCAGTTGTCATTGGGATATTTCTCTTTCAACCTGTTTCCATGCTAAATGTTTAAATGATATCAGTCATGTTGGCAGACAAGGGGTTGGGGCGGAAACATCGCCCCAACCCCTTGGGTTATACGTTGGGTTATACGTGGAAACATCCTATTTACTTTTACAAAAGAACACGTTGTCCTTTGTTACCATCTGCATTTTTTTGTTTGTTGGTGTCGCTCTCAGTCTGCCAGTGCAGTATATATGGGAGCAGTTTATCGGAGAACACATAACGGTTAATCAGACATAAAACAAACTGGGAACACGGGAGGGGTGACGAACACGAGCAGGCTGTTCGGCCCGTCTCGTCGCTCCAGCTGGCTGCTAGTCCCAGCGGTCGGGTCTCGTCGGGTCCGCCCCCTTCACTTCGTGCCGGCTGGTGTCCCCACGCGGTGGTGGGGTGCCGGAGTGAACACCTAACGCCCGCCCTCTCTCCTCTTGTGTCGGAAGCTCTGCATGCCCAAGGGGCTGACGTTCAGGACGCAGGCGGACAGCCGGGAGCCGCTGTTCCACTCCTTCATCATCACCCGGGAGGACGGCTCCCGCACCTACGGCTTCACCCTGACCTTCTACGAGGAGGTGACCAGCAAGCAGATCTGCAGCGCCATGCAGACCCTGTACCACATGCACAACGCCGAGCAGTACGACATCCTGCACACCACCTCCTCCTCCTCCTCCACCAACGGCAGGGACTGCGGGGGCAGCCAGGAGGAGCTCGGCGGCACCGCGCTGTCCAAGCTGCAGCGCTTCAACTCCTACGACATCAGCAGGGACACGCTGTACGTCTCCAAGTGCATCTGCCTGATCACGCCCATGGCCTTCATCCAGGCCTGCAGGAAGGTGCTGCAGCAGCTCCACCAGGCCGTGACGTCCCCCCAGCCCCCACCACTGCCCCTGGAGAGCTACATCTTCAACATCCTGTACGAGGTGCCCCTGCCGCCCTCCGGGAGGTCCCTGAAGTTCTCGGGGGTGTACGGCCCCATCGTGTGTCAGCGGCCCAGCCACAGCGAGCTGCCGCTCTTCGACTTCCCCGTCGGCGAGCTGTTCGAGCTCCTGGGCTTGGAGAACGTCATCCAGCTCTTCACCTGCGCCCTGCTGGAGATCCAGATCCTGCTGTACTCCCAGCGTAAGTTCCCCTCCCTGGCGCTGTGGGTCGGCTGCTCTCGGCTCGTTCTCTATGACAGTAAGTGACAGAGAAGGCGCGGTTCGTCAGCCAAAACAGCGCCGAACTTCTGTGACGGACCCTAGATTGTGGTTTCTGTGCTTATCTCCGACACCACTAGTCAAATAAAATAAATACAACAGCCTATCCACAGAGATGCAGCAGTGCCTTATGCAGTACACCTGCATAAGGTGTTTTTCCTTTAGAGACAACGGTGCTGATCGCTCGTTTCCTGTGCAGGGTGTCTAGTCTGATTCTGAATGGGCGTTTCCACTCGTGCACTCGGGCTCATGCCTCATTGACTGCTCTCTCTTGCACGAGGACCTTCGTGACGGCTCTGACCTTGATGAAACCGTTGACTTTGTGTCGCTGCATTGCTCCAATTATGTCTCATGTAGAGATCATGACAGTCCTGCAGGGAAATATAATAAGATTGCTTACAGAGACTTCTCCATGTGCATCGTGCCCTGACACACAGAAGGTGTGGAGGACAGGTATCCCATAGGATTCTGTTTCATCCTTCTCTGCAATTGTAGACATTTTTCCCATTTAACGTAAATGCCTTCCAACAGTGAGCTGATTTTCAGTCTTCCAAGTCTTTTCAGTATCACTTCATAACAAGTGCCCTTAATTACAGTGAAATTATACATGAAGGAGCACATGGGTAGTGCAGATTATTCCCATGGTGTCTTGTATCCAGCATGAGGGGATGATGAAAGTGTGGTCAGTCTTTTTCCTGTTAGTAACACAATGCAAGGATATTATGTAAGGTTCCATAAACCTTTTAGATCGTTTAAAACAGTTTTATTTTTTTCTAAAACAGTAGGAGCTTGTTTTCCCCTATTTTATAAAGAGCAGTGTGTTGATCTTGGTGGAGTAGAAAACACTTTATTGTGGCCTCGACGATTCAAGAGGTGTGATCCATTATTAAATCATGTCGTTTCCGTGGTGCTAGACATTATCCTGTATGTTTTCCTATTTTAGTACTTTCTGTTGGCATGTGCTCATTATAAAAAGATGCAAAATGTGGTACTGCCAATCCTAATTAAAAGTGTTCAAAAATATGATTTTGACCATTTTTTAACTAAAATGAAAGGCAGGTGAGAAGGATGACACAGGATGTCTTTGAGTCCTCTCTTCGCAGTGGGGAATTTAACCCTCTTAAGTTGAGCTTTTTATAGGCGCTGCAGCCTGACAGAGCCCTTATTGTCAAGCTGGTTGAGATCTAGATGGTATTTATAGGAGACAAATCCAGGTTAATTCCGGTGAATTTGGAGACCCAATAACTGCAGTCTGAAAACATGGAAGGGCAGCGAAATAGAACTGGTGAAGAAGCTTTGACCCAGAGCAGCAAAGAAAGAGGTTTTGAGATGAATATGTCCTGAAGACTGGGTGAATGTCGTGACAAAAAGATGTAAACATCTCAGAAGTATTTTGAGAATTATTATGCATTAAAATCTTTCCATTAAATAAAGTCATGCTTGTTCCTAACCTTAGGGTGAGTGAAAGCTGGGTTGTGCAGTGCCTATTGCAGAGTTCAGGCAGTTGGTCTCCTATAGTAGCATCAAGTAATCGTCAGATTGAAAGTGGCATGCTTGTCTGGGTGAATTCCGCTGTGGAAATTGAATAAACAACCCTACTGCTTTGTAAAACCGTCTCCTTGGGTGTTCAGAAACCACGTCTTGCATAGCTTTCTTATTCCCCCTGTCAATACACATCTCCTGACTGAAAAAGGCATGAAATACAGGCCAGGTTCAGGGCTTGGATAAGTATTATCTGTTTCCTGTCAGTGGCACAAATGTTTATTTTATGGCACAATTTACTGAAATTGATTTTAAATACAGTACTATAGTAATTGCTTATCAGTATTTTTCTAACACTTACACCAAAAAAGCACAAAACATTAAACATAATTGTACTTGTACTTGTAATTGTAGAAATAGGCATTTGAGAATTTACTTTGAAGAGAACTGTCTTTTATGATCAATGACAACACCACTGCAACTTGAAAGAAATCAGAGTAATTTTTTTCTGCTTTCAGTTTGGGAATACTATTTTCTCACAAGTCTGAATTTTAGCTAAAAGTGTAAACTAAGCCTTTATTTGTGCTATATGTGAACAGAAGAAAGTAAAAAGCAGAATTAAATACTGAAGCTCTTATTAAGGCAGTTTAAAGTAAATCAGTCTACAGCAGCAGTTTGTAGCGAAAGTAGTCATTTATTTTCCTAATGCAGGAATGCAGGTGAATGTTTTGTGCCTACAGTATTATTGGAAAATGTGATATTTATTGATAATTCTAATTTTAATTGGATAATCCAAGAGTATTCTTTATTCTGTGCATGTCTAGTAATTTTTTACATTTATTGTTCAGTTAGCACTTTAAAAATTATAGGGTCTTGCCTCTGATTATGTTAAAGAATTAAATAAAGAACAAAATGTGTCAGTGTTGGGTTCCAAGGAGATATTTATTCATTAGAATTACAATAAATGCCAAATTATTAGTGGAAAACAGCAAAGCCTGTCAGGTGCATTGCTGAGGTGTTGCTAAGCAACGAGTCTCTGAAAAGGAGGATGTCAGTGATGCAGAGAAAATATGATTGGCTAGAAATTACATCATCGTTTTTTTTCTTCAGAAGTCTTAACACTGCAGATTTTTTTTTTGCAAAGCTTTCCCAAGAATTAAGCCAACTAAATCTGAAAGGAAAAGTACTGTAATGCCATTAGATGAAGTGTCGAACGATGCTAAAATAGCCACCCTTGGTGAGCGAAAAAAATTCAACTGGCGGTTGTCTAGAAATAGTACCGTAATTCTAGTCTCTCAGACAGATGAACCCAAGGTGATGGCTTTTAGATGATGGTTTTCTTGGTAACACTTTAAATATCAACTGCAATTAAGTAATTATGTGTCTTCCGGATATATTACTCACCTCTTCACTTGACTATAATTGTAGTTCAAATGGTACCTTCATCTGTGTAGAAAGCCCTTGCAGAAAATATGCTGCACTGTGACAGGGGTGGTTATTGTATTTACACCGTACTAAATTGAAAGAAATAGTTGTCTCTTGATCTCTGTTTCAAGTGATTTACCTTTGTCAATCACTTTTATCACTTGTTTCTCAGTCTTGACAAAAGAAAATGCCAGCCTGGAACCTGCTTCTGTTTGTTTGTAGTTTAAAAATGTATTTTTGAAAAGGCCTGTTTTCTTTTTTTTCTCTGGGATGATGTGGCCAAGATGAATTTGCACTCCTGCCCCTGAGTCATCGCCCTTTTACTGGGTGATGAATTCATAACAGGAGAAGATCTGGGAAGAGCAGGAAGGGCAGGAAGAAAGGGTTTCTTTGTGTCATACAGATTGAAAAGAACATAGGCATCCTCATTCTTTTAACTGTGTAGTGAACTGTGATGAGCTAGGTAAGAGGACACTTGAAATAGAAAATAAAACTGTATCTTATATAATCTTCCATGGACATCTGAGCTGAAGTAGCAGTCGAATAATGCACATCACAAGCATTTGGAAAACAAAGAGGTCTTATTAATGTAAAATATTCAACCACAGAGCGCTGGCTTCTGTTTTGGAATCTGCATATCCATTCGATTCAGAAATGATTAAGCCGTGGGAAATAGCCTAGCTAGGCTATCTAGGAGCTTAGCTGGTTTGCTGTGTGTACATGTTACACAGGAAATAGTCTCAATTGTCTCTAAATGCTCCTGCAGGAATTTTAGAGCATTTTGCTCCCTGATGCACTGGCTGATTACATTGTCCTGATACTCAGGGATTGGTTTATCAGGTGCAGCTACAAATTACCACTGTGATTTGCAAGATGTTCTGTGTCTTAACCCACCACAGTGCTATACAGTTTGTTACAAAAACCCTTTTTACCATGTCTGGTATATAATTGGGTTGCTTTAGTGCATTATAAGTAAGGAACATAAAGGAAGACTTTGATGTTTTGATGGGTAGATGTCGGATAGAAATCTAAATCATGTTAACTCTTTATTCTTATTCCTGCAGAAATCGCAGCATCCAGCGTCCTCCAGTGTTGCTACCAAAATCTCGCTGGCTGTTGCATATTGATTCGTAAAAGTGTTTCTTGTAGGGTGGTGTCATTTAAAAAAAAAAAACCTGAGAGGAACAGCAACCACTCTGACGGTTATTTATTGTTTTCTTCTGACTTGTGTTGAAGTGCCGAAGCGAAATTAGCTTCCGTCTTCGGCAGAACCAGAAAGTCCCTCTTCATGAACACGAGTGCCAGATTAAGCCGCAGGGGGTAGATTATGCTGTCTGTTTTGAGAATAGGTTATATCTTGGGAAATGGAGTATGCGGTATTTTAGGAATGGCTTTCTTTCATTGAGCGCCTCTTCCCTGGAGCTGTTGTTTCTCTGCGCGTGTGGGCGGCGGTGACGGTGTCGGGTGATGTCTTTCAGATTACCAGAGACTGATGACGGTGGCAGAGAGCATCACGGCCTTGATGTTCCCCTTCCAGTGGCAGCACGTGTACGTGCCCATCCTGCCCGCATCCCTGCTGCACTTCCTGGACGCGCCCGTGCCGTACCTGATGGGCCTGCACTCCAACGGGCAGGACGACCGCTCCAAGCTGGAGCTTCCACAGGAGGTGAGGCGTCCCGTTGGCCCCCGCGTCGCCCCGAATCGCGCTGTCGATTTCCGCCCCGAAGGAGCCGCTGTTCCCCGTCCTGCACGTTGTACACACAGTCGGTCCGCTCGTCCATTTTCTCTCTGCTTCTTCCAGTGCAGGGTGGCAGGGGAGCCAGTGCCTATCCCAGCAAGCAATGGGCCCAAAGCAGGGTACACCCTGGATGGGACGCCAGTCCGTCACAGGGCTTCTAGCACAATGCTGACAGCCCCCATTTGCAGATTATTATATTTATGATATAGAGCCGTTTGCCAGTTTTGGTCTCGTAGATGTCGATTCATTATAGTTCAGACAGTCGCTTTAGTGTCAGAGGGAGCTGTGACATGCAGGCGCTTTGATTTAAAGGTCTGAAGTATTTTGTCACATCGTTGTACCCGGAGGAAACTCACGTGAACATGGGGAGAAGATACAAGCTACCCTCAGACTGCACCCCTGGTCTGTAATTGAACCCAGGGCCCCAGCACTGCCAGGCAGCAATGCTGGCCACTGCGCCACTGTGTCACCCCCTGAACACACAGTCGAGTGTCTTAAAATATGACAGATCCCGGCAGTAGTCTGTAGTTCTGATCAGTATTAACAGCAGAATTATTGCTGCTGTTTTCTTTTTAAAAATGCCAGGATCCTCAGTGGACTGTTAAAGAGGATTATAAAAACGCTAGTCTACCATATCCACAGGAGTCCTAACCCTGAAGAGGAGATTAGACAGTTTATATAATTATCCTGATTGTTCTGGGAGTTTCTTTCTCCTTCTCTGTTTAAGTGAATGTTTGTCTTTCTTATTTTGCACTGCGTAGGCTGGGTAAAACTACTCTCGTACATCTCTGTTGCGTTTAGCAAAGGCCTATAAGTCTGATAGCAAATAATTTTTAATCTGTTTATCATCTGTTCAGTGTCTCTGCTTTGCATCTATCCTTTCTATGTATTTGCAATGCCGTTGTCTTATGCTACACATGTGATCAGTAAAAGTAAAACTAACATCCAGGTGGGGCTGCACATTGGTGGTGGTGGAGGGGAGTCCCCATTACCTGTAAAGTGCTTTGAGTGGAGTGTCCAGAAAAGCGCTATATAAGTGTAAGCAATTATTAATTAATTATGACCATGTGCTGAAGTTTTGATAAGATATACTGAAGATGAGAAATTGTTTTCACTTGCCTGACATTGGCATATGATTCTCCCAAGTTTGATTTTGATTTTTAAATTCCTCAAAATATTATACTTGAATGCTTATTTTCCAAAGTAATCTGCCTGAATGGGAGCAGTCCATATTGTATGGCACTCCTATCTGAACCATTAGATCCATCCTGTCTTGGGAGCATGTGACGAAATCTTGGAAGTTCTCAACAGTGCTAGAAATGTAGTGCTCCATGGTTCTGGGTTGTCAGTCACTGATCTATAGGATGAATTCTGAGATCTAGGCAAAGGTTTGTACCAGATCCCTACCATTCCAGGTACCCTCTGTCCAGGGGACAGCAATTCCTTGTTCGCCTATGACTCTAACCTGCCTTGCTCCTTAATCAGGCCTGCCTGCTTTCTATAATGAGCTGGATCCCACATAAAAGGGACAAGTTTGACAATTGAATGGGCATACAAGTTCTCAATTTCATTCTGTGATTGGTTTTATAATGTAACTTAACTGGGATGAATCTGCAACCCTCTCATAAGCAATATTTAGTCTTATTAAGGCCACATTTTCCAGGACAAGGGTCAGTGGAGGTAACTTGCTGGAACAGCAGAAGTGATTCATGAAACCTCAGCCTTCACTGTCCAAATTGCCCCGCGCTGAAACCTTTATTTTTATATGTGTTTGCGACATACTGTTCCAAAAGCAAGCTCTTTGAGATGATGTCTTTAGTAAGAAATATATTTTTTTAGATATAAAAAGCTCATTATAGAGAGAAAATCTCAGAAATTCACATTTTGGGAGGGATTTTCTACATTTTACAGCAAAAGTGAAAAGTTAGGATTTGTGTTTAAAATCACATATCAGGGTGGAACTCATTTCTTTGACAATCCGTCCTGGTACAATTTCAGCTTTAGGGTTTTTCACCTCTCTGTTATCTCCATGGATCAAGAACAGTAATTTGTTTTGGCCTTCTGGCAGAAAATTTTAGTGAAATGCTGACAGCCCCCATCTGTGTGTTATTATATTTATGACATAGAGCTGTTTGCCAGATTTGGTCTCACAGATGTCGGTTCGTTACAGTTCAGATAGTCACTCTTGTGTCAGAGTGGGCTCTGATATGCAGGCAGGTTGATTAAATGGCCTGAAGTATTTTGTCTTTCTTTCGGCTCCATCAAACTAAATGCTGGACTGTTATCCTTAATATTGTAATGAGGCCACCTTACGTATTGTGCTTATTGTATACCTTATTGTGTTGTACTGGGATTTTAGATTTTTGTACTGATATGTACATAATAACATAATAACAATAATTTGAGCATAAGGAAAGAAAAATTGAGAGAATTGTATGTACCTTTCCTCTGTGTGTTGCAGTGTGGCGACACCTACTGGGCAGAACTGATTTTCAGATGTGTTTTGAGCGCGAGGCTCTTTATTTTTGGTATTTGTTTGCAAACGATAGTAACTTAGTTTCTGTTGTATAAGTATATTTTTATTATTCACTTTGCAAGCTTCCACAGGCAGAAGTCAGTAAAGAGAAGGAATGTGTTGTGTTGTGGAATGTGTTGTGATCTGGCATGCGACATGATGGAGATATTGTACAAAAAACCTTTGTAGTGACGTTGAAATTGCAGCGCTGTGATTGTGGGATTGTGGGACAGTTGTCAACATCTCCAGCTTAATATCGTCTTGCTCCTTTACTTCAGGCCAACCTGTGTTTTGTGGACATTGATAACCACTTCATAGAGCTGCCCGAAGACTTGCCCCAGTTCCCTAACAAGCTGGAGTTCATCCAGGAGGTGTCGGAGGTGCTGATGACGTTCGGGATCCCTCCGGAGGGCAGCCTGCACTGCAGCGAGAGTGTGTCCAAGCTGAAGGGCTTCCGGGCTTGCGACGTGGCCTCCGACAAGCGCAACGGCAACCTGGCGGGCTCGCCGCTGAACTCCTACCACCTCCTGAAGGAGAACGAGACCATCGCCCGCCTGCAGGCCCTGGTCAAGAGGACAGGGGTCAGCCTGGAGAAGGTGGGTGTCTGGGGGGCTGCTTGCAGAGCTCTGCGTCTTGACCCCATTTAAGCTCAGGGTGGTCTAGAGTGGAGCAGAACCTTCTGCTTTCCAGCCAAAGCCGAATTGCGAACCTAGTTCTCCACATAAATTTCAACATAAGCCGACGAGAAGAAAACTTTCTCCCAGCAAACAAAAGGGCCTCCAGCAGGACCTGAGATTTTGAGTTTGCAGCTGGCGTGTGGATTCAGGTTTTGATTTAAATAAAATCCATATTCAGTCTGTTCTTTTCTTACAGTATGTGCCTCCATTGCAGCTGGCTAGACTTAGGCCTCAAGACCGTTTATGGGAAATTAGAATTTGTTTCCTTATAGAAAAAAGCCCTGGAAATCACCCTTTGTAAACAGAATTTTTAAAACTCCAAAGTCCTTTTATCATATAGCTTTGTATAAAGCTATTCTTAATACAGAATCAGAAAACACAGTTACTGTTGAAAGTTTCTGAATACATCTGACTCCAGTGATCGTTAGATATGACTTGACCAAGCTACCCACTCATGCGCTGTTCCTTCAGTGCCGGCGGTAAAAGGCATGAACCTGGGTTACTGTATAACGCATCCTTTAGTGTGTCACTTTGCCTGGAGTCAAGTCCAGATTATTTAAGGAAGTTGGTTTTTTTTATCAGATTTTGTAAATATTTAATTTGGTTTCTGAAGCTAAAAATCAAAGTTATTGTTGCAAAAAAACCTAAATTATTAAATACCCATTTACCCGAATTACCTTTTAATGTAGGTTAATAGTTTGTTGTGTTCAGCTGTTTTGGGCAAGACCTTTGAAATCCAGGTGCTCTTCAGAGCAGTGCTGTAGGGAATTCAGGGAAATCGTGCAGAGTAAGAAACAGAGGACCTCACTGAAGGCTTTGTTTCTGCGTGTGTTTTTTACCCAAATGGCACTTTGTGAAGAAAGATTTAATTGGTGTGCTGCTCAATGCCAGTCCTACAGCCTAATGAAGTGCTTGCAGGCACCTGCAGCCATAAAACACGTCTTCCTGTCTCAACCTTGGCTAATTTGTTGTTGTTTTTTTTTTAAATAATTAATCAGCCAAATTGGCAGCCACCCTTTTTTGGAAAACTGTAATCCAGCCAAGTTAAGACAGCTGTCCTAAGAACCTACAGGCACAGCCACGTCTCCGTTGCGCTGTTCCTTGCTTATTGATATAAGCATCCAGATAGTAGTGCAAATTTGTCAGGTTCTGTAGATATCATGTACTGTGTATGTTGTATAGCTGGAGTTCTAATAGGCATTGAGCCATATGCTTTATTCATACCAGTTGTGAGCTTCATTTTAAGACTTCATTTAAGCATCATTTAAAATTTTTAAATTGTGTTTAAAGATTAAGATATAACAAACTAAAAATAAAAAATGTTTTTTTTTTCATGAAATGGAAATGTGGAGTAGGACATATTACTATGGAAAAGGGTGTTCTAAAGTATGAAATGCCAAACCTTCTTCAATTCTTCAATTATTTTCTTGGATTTGATTCAGTGAAACAGGAGAGAAAATGTTCCTAGTCAGCAGAAATGTTTTCAAAGAGATGTTTTCCAGACGACATACATTTCTGTTTAAGTTTTTTTCATTGTCAGGAAAGTGCCCATGGTATTAATTTCCACAGACTAGACCAAAACACTGGACAGATTATTGCCAGATTGCCAGATTAGTAATGAGTACAGTTTAGACATCCGTGGTGACCCAGAAATATAGTGTCTGTGTCCGGTTTTTGCTGGGACAGTCCTGTAATCCACCAGGAAAGCTTTGAGAGCCCCACCCAGAAATCTAGGAGCCCTGTTTTCACCTTAGGAAAACAGAGTCACATTACCTAGAAATGGACTGCTTTTCATTCTGGTTTAGTTTACATGCTTGGTGTCTTTTTTTTTTTTTTTTTAGTTCAGTTAGTCACTTCACAGAGAAGAAAAGGCAGAAGAGTGATCAACAGAGCTGCCCTTTTAAAGAGTGTAAACAGCTTGATCTGCGTGTTGAGGGGTGGTTTGTTTTTTCTTTCCAAAAAGGTTCGATAACAATAGCCTTGCCATCTTAAAATAGCTATGCTGTCAGCAGCCTCTGCTATAAATGGCAGCCTCCCTATATTTGTCTTTCGAATGGGTAAGGCTAGAAGGAACAGAAAGCTTAGGGTTATTGAAAAGTCAAAGCCCCACGGGGAAAGGGATTGTTTGAGGCAGAGCTGGGTTTACTGAGTCAGGAAACTCACCCAAGGGGCAATGCAGGACAGCCTGTCAAATACCTCTGCCCTCTCTTATCACACCCCCTTGGGTGATTAACTGCTTCTACCTTCCTCTCCTCCCCTTTCCCATTGTCATTGTTTGGCATTGTTCAGGGTTTCTCCTTTTCACCCTGTAAGCCCTAGGGGCCTAGTTCTCTGGTGGCTGTTCTATGAGCTCAAGCACCCTCAATCTTTTTCTATGTCATTGTTAAATGAGGAGTGAATACATATTTGTACATTGAGGATACCGCAAATGTCTTAGCAGGAGTGCAACCGGAAGGAGTACGTCGTATTTAACCAAAGTATAAATCCTTGTAAATGAGAGAAATTTTGAACAGATTTCTGTTACAGTGTGGGGGTTGTTTGTGTTATAATTTAAAATGAACGGCCCATAATTGTCTTGTTTTTTAAATGTACGCTTATGCCATAGGTTCAGGAGACTTTAAGAAAACTTTTTTTTTTTAAAAAGAAGTGTCTGTTCTGAGAGGGCGAAGGGCTTTGTGTTTCTTCACATGGGGATAAAAAAAATCTGCCCCCAATCAAATGCGTGAAGCTCTGACTGAAGTAATCCGTCCTTCAGATGAGACATAAAAGGAGGGACTGACTCTCTGTGTTCATTACAAATCCCAGGGCGTTTCTCAAAAAAAGTAGGGGTGTAACCCTGGCGTTCTGGCCAAACATACCATTGGCCTTTACCAATCATGGCCTCCTAATAATCCCCACCTATGAACTGGCTTCATTTCTCTTTTCTCCTCCTAATAGTTGATGTGTGGGGAGCGTACTGGTGCACTATGGCTGCTGTCACATCATCCAGGTGGGGCTGCACACTGGTGGTGGTGGAGGGGAGTTCCCATTACCTGTAAAGTGCTTTGAGTGGAGTGTCCAGAAAAGCGCTATATAAGTGTAAGCAATTATTATTATTGATAATGTGAGGTCCCAGTCACACTTTGCCCCCCCCCAGCTGGAAGTGAGAGATGAGGCCAGCAGCAATAAAGACCTGAAGGTGCAGTGTGAGGAGGAGGAGCTGAAGATGCACCAGCTCAACATCCGGGTGCGGGAGGTCTTCGCCAACCGCTTCACGCAGATGTTCGCCGACTACGAGGTCTTCGTCATCCAGCCCAGCCAGGACAAGGAGTCCTGGTTCAGCAACAGGGAGCAGATGCAAAACTTCGATAAAGTGAGTCCCGGAATGAAGCGTACTAGGGAACTAAAACTCCCATTAACGGCGCTCTGTCGGATCAAAAGCTTGTGGGCGTCTGGCTTGAACGGGATATTCCTCGGTGCCTGTTCTGGTTTTCTTGTTTTTCTCTTTCGTCAGGGATGTATCACAATTAACTCTCTACCATGAATTTTAAGTGCCTGTAAGAAGGGAGACCGCTATGATTTTGGGGGGAATTACTCGGCGTAAACAGTGGAGTTTGGGTTGCCTGTAGAAATGCGTCCAAGTCTCTTTCCAGATGACAATGTAAACTAATCGCATGCATTTATGTAGATTTACTTCCGTGAAGTTTTTCATCTCATTTGCCGTGTCAGAAAATAAACCAAATTGACTACAGCCCAGGCGCTGCCAGTCTCCTGCAGCCCATTTTGAAAATCCATCTGGGAAGCACTGTTCTTGTGGGACCAGTTTCCTTTTAAAGACCTGTGTGGTGAGACCTGCCTCGGTTGAGCGTTGGCTTCTTGGGGGGCCTTCGTTCCTCACGGCGTCCCCTGCCGCTCTGCCTGCAGGCCTCCTTCCTGTCCGACCAGCCCGAGCCGTACCTCCCCTTCCTGTCCCGCTTCCTGGAGACGCAGATGTTCGCCTCCTTCATCGACAACAAGATCCTGTGCCACGACGACGAGGACAAAGAGCCCACTCTCAGGGTCTTCGACTCCAGGGTGGACAAGATCCGCATGCTGAACGTGAGGACGCCCACGCTCCGCACGTCGATGTACCAGAAGTGCACGATGATTGACGAAGCAGGTTAGGCCCCTTCCGCGCGACACTGGCCACCTTTTGACAAGGCCCAGAAAGGCACTGTGCCCAGATCGCTGGATTCTTTTTTCTTTTATGTGTTTTCATCCAATGTCATTTTGTACATGTGCTTATAAGATAATGTGCTTTTTGTCATTTGATATGAAACTGAGCATTCAGAGATGCCTGTTCATGCATATATTTAAAAATTAGAATAATTTATACCATGGTTAAAATCTACAGGGAGAAAGATTACGGACAATAATAGTAAAACATGGATGTACAACAGAATGATATAGAAATTGTGAGAAACCACAGTCAATCAAATTAATGCTTAGTTTAAGAACAGAAAGGCTGAAAAATACTGTACCAATTTCCAAGGATAAGCTTGCACTTAGAAGGGAAGGACTGAGTCACTACTGGCAGAGTAGTGCCTTTCCTTGAAGACATGGTAGCACAAGAAACACAAGTCTGAACACTGATAAAGGTATTAATGCAGTGTTTTTTTTTTAATGGGTGCCCCTACCTACTTTGTAATCTGACATGTTTGTGATGAAAGACTTACCTTTGTGTTCCCTTGCTGTTTTCAGATGCACATCTAAAAAAGCGGTTTGAGAAAATCGATCTGGTAGCCCCTGTACCACATTCCATTGGACTGGAGAACTATAAGGCTCACATTAGTAATTACATGCTGTTTTATTTGATCCGCACAATTCATGGGTGGTGGTGTCTGTGTGTGCCTGCAGTACATTATGACAATTAGAGGAGGGCTGAGTTTGATCCATTCCCTCATAACATGAGTTCATTGCTTTGTATATGATCTGCTTGAAAATTAGGGTACTGAGATATACAAAACTGTTGTTTGCCTAAATGACTCCTGACTTGCATGATAAGTTACTGTGTTTTTTCATAGGCATCGTAGTTCATCAGATGTTTTAAATGCTTTAAGTTATGAGTACTTTGAGAAGCCACGTTTGAAGGTGCTATATAAAACAAACTTTATTACTATTGCGTTGTGGTTGGAAAAGGAATCCTTTAATGCGTTTGCAGTATTTTTAGATCTGTAAACATCACAGCAAATCAAACATCAGTGAATGTTTTAACTATTACATCTCAATAACCTCCTGGTTTTCTTGGTTTCATTGTGTTGGTATAAAATAATTTCCACTTTTTTTTTACAAGTTTTTCAGAATGACATGCTGCCTTAAACCAAATACCACAAATATTGAAATCCAAGGATAATGAATTTTGTCATTGCATTTTTGTGCAATGCATTGAAAATAGAAAGGAAGGAGTCATTATTATTAATAATGTACTGTATGCATGCACATTACTAACCATTTCAAAGTTCTTATAGAAACAACAAATTACTTATCTCTACTAACATCCCAGTTATCTCAGTGGGTTTATTGGGCTTTGTTGTCATGTATGTTTTCCAAAGCAGTGTTCCTGAAGAAGCCTGTAGAAAGACTCACAGCACAGTTCAGACCATATCACTCAGGTCTTTATTTTTGTAATTTAGCATCGCCAGTTATTTTTGTGACAGACCCCATGATTTGGAATGGCTGATTGTGTGTTTTTCACATCTCGGCTCTCGGCAACGATCCCTGCAGGGGATTGTAGCAAAGAGCCTCGACATGAGAATCGCACTGTCGGTCTGTTCCTAATCATGAGGCTGTGACAAAAATAGTCCTCCTTTCTTATCAAGCTGGGCTGGCTCTCGCCGACAGTGCCGTGACCGTATTCAGGTGATGAGGAAGAGTGGGTGGATTTCTCTGGCCCACCCAGGTGGGAGCCTGGCTTGAGTCTCTCATTTTTTAAGAGACGCTGAGAGAGACGCTTCTGCCAGCAGCAGTGAAAGTCTGCAGGTGCCCAGGATGTGACAGGGGTCACTGTGTCACTGAGAGCTGAGAGACCCCCGGCCGACTAGCTAGTGACATGACACAGGCTCCAACCCGTGTTCCTGAAGCTCAGCTGAGCCTCTCGAGGGATTCCTGACCCGGGTCCTAGAGTTAGCAGAGCTCCCAAGCGAAGGGTGTGTTTTGAGATTTTAAATTGTTCTAAACCAGGTTTCCGAACTGTAAAATGTGCATAACATTTCAATCCTAAAATCTTAAAATTACTGATCTTAATGCAATATTGACAGTTTTTTCGTGAGTCCTTAAATCTGTGAAGATGCACTTTCCCCTCATAGGGCAATGAGTCAAACTGTTGTTTTAAGACAATTATCACCAAAACGTTGAATTCAATTATAATTATCCTAGAATTTGTCTCATGCGGGTTTTCTTTAAAAGGGCATCAAGCTAGTTTGGTGTGAGGGCTGCATGGGGAGAATCTGCATCTCGATACGAATTACTAACGGGGTGATGCATGGGTGTGATAAAGCCATGAAGATCATATAATCTCCCGGGTGTGAAATTGGTCATTAATGGCTTGACTTTTTCAGCGCAGTGGCTCACAGAGACATGGGCTGGTGTATACTCCTAAAAGTGATTCTTGCTGTGGGGATGATCATGCAAAGGATTTTTTTTTTACTTCTTTTTTTTTTTCCTGTTCCAACACCATCAGCTGCTGAGAGAGGTAACGGTTCTCCCTGTGTGTTGTACAGAAAAGGCGATAGAGATGAGGCTGGTTAAGATCGATCACACTGCTCTGCACCCGCACCTGCTGGACATGAAGATTGGCCAGGGCCGCTACGAGCCCGGCTTCTTCCCCAGGCTGCAGTCCGACGTGCTGTCCACAGGGCCCATCAGCAACAAGTGAGCAGGCGGCAGGGGAAGGTCACCTGTCTTTCTCCAGCAAGCTCCAGCCAGCCGGGCAACCCCTGGTGCTACACTGAAATCGTTCTCGGCAATGAAGGAGTGCAAGCTGTCTTAGCAGACTGAGAAAAAAGAAGGAAATCCTCTGCATGCATAGTACTTGAGGTTTTTACATTCGGTAAAAAGCAGCACCAACAAGCATGTATAAGTTAAATATTTGAGCTTAAACGAATATCAGGTTTATGTAAAGACATCAGCTGCCAAGTTTGTTTGTTGGTATGTAGTGGGACATAGGCCACCGCCTTATCATGTGATTGGGGGTTTTATTTTGAGTTTAATAGCTATAGATATCTGTAGTGCCCTGTCCCCCCCCAGCACACACACCCACACCTCAAAAGACTTGCACAGCATCTGAAAGTG